CACCACACCACCACGTTTTCCCAGGTCTCCTCCAGGGCGCAGGGAGGCTCAGCGATGCCACCTGGCGGCGAGTCCTCCCCAAGGGGGGAGCCGGCTGGAGGCAGAGCAAGCCCTGGCTCCCCGCGGGAGTGCCTGGCTTGGGCCTTGGGAAATGGAGCAAAGGCTCCTGTTTATGCTTCCAATTTACGTGACCCACACAAACACTCGCTTTCTCCTTGTTCTCATCAGAAAATTGTGAGGAAAGGAAAATGAGTTGGCATTGGTATGAAGTGCTATTTTAGCCCATCAGATGCTAGTGGCTGGTTAGGAGGGGAGAGAAAAATGGTAAAAATTTATTAGAAATTCAGGGTTCTTATCTCTTATAGTATTCTAAGAGTAAAAATATATCATGGGTTTTATTTTACTCCAGAATCCTATTTTGATATTTGCAAGTAAGAAATACTTCCATCTTATTTTGATTACTCTTTCTCCATGCAACCCACCAAAAGGAAGTCCAGTCCCAGTACAGCTTCATCAACCAAAAAGGATGAAGTTTAAGTGCTGTTTGTCTACTTGATTGAGAAGTCAGTCTGGGATGGAGAGTCCTTTTCCAGAAAATGTGGAACTGAAAAGCCTGGGGGCCTTTCAGTTGACAAAGGTCAATGACATCAAATTTCCCAGGGCTGCTTCTATTCTGTCTGCTAAAGTAACAAAGACAGGGTGTTTTTTTTTCCTATATATATTTTAACCCCCCCAATTTATATTTGACATGAATATTTTTCAGGTTAGCCCAGCTGTTACAATCATAGTTTCTATAACCAAGGCAAGGCAAATCTGAGCATCCAGATTTGTTAAACTAATTTCCCTTCAGGTCCCACCCTACCCACCTCCATACTATAGGAATATATTAAGCAGTGGATTAGAATGGGATAGAATCTTATTTCCATTTATACCCCATACTATTTTATGGACTTTTGTGAAATTTTATGTTGTGCAGGTGTATGAGAGCAGAAAAAGTGAATTAGCAGATATCACACTACATCTCACATAGAATTCCATTACTTAGTGGAAAATAAATAAGATAAAATATTTTTCTTAATTCAAAATTGGAAATGTCTGACATCGTTGCTAACAAAGATAGCCTATTATCCTAAAACAGAAAAAAAAATGTTTTTGCAAAATTATCTTTGTTTTCTGTTAATATGACTTAAAGAGCAGCATTATCAAGAATTACTTCATGTACTGCAAAGCCAGCAGAGGGAACACTGAGTACTGGTTTAGTAGGGGCCACCAAATATCTGTAATGGGGGGAGGAGGGGAGAATGTCAGTAATGGAGAACTGGTTATAAAGCACGTGTAATTAAGTAATGAGAACCCAGCAATCTTTTCTCATTATTTATTAGTCAGAGGCCTAACACAGTGCAATGTGCACATACTTAGTCAGTTGGCCAGAAAGGTTGACTTTAATAAAAGGTTGTTTATCACATGTTTCTTACATTTTAAGACAATTACTAGCATAAGAACAAACCTACTTCAGAAGTCTAAGCATTCATATATACTATAGTAATCTTACAAAATTATTGGAAATGACTAATACTAATTAAAATATTAAATAATAACCAAGAGTTCCATTCTAATAACATTTTCCTTTTCAACACCTCTGAAATAGGTCTCTGTCCTACAACTGGGGGGTGTCACAGTTTCATTGGCAGGTTTTCTTCCTTAGTGGCGTGTAACAATGGTGTTTCTAAGCAGTTGTTGGATTTGTTACAATATAGAAAATACATTAAACAACAGAAATAGGCCAAGGGCTTTGTTGTTGTTTGTTTTTTTTTTGGGGGGGGGACATACTTGTAAAAAAAAATTGTTCTTTAAATATAAACAAAATTACTATGACTGCTTTGATTAACTTCCACTTTTCATATTCAGTGGTGGAAGCATAAATGGCTTTAGAAATATAAACCATTATATTGATACCCACCTTGACTGAATTTTCACAAAAGAGCTACCCTCAAATCATTTGTTGGAACAAATTCCAAAATAAAGTATTTATTCTTTTTTTTTTTATTTTAGTGACAGTGTTGATTTTACAAAAACAATAGTCCTCTTAGAGCAGCTTTAATGTCAGATTGATAATATTTAGGGGTGTATTTTGGTGTGCATACCAAAGAAATTTAAGTGCATGATAACACACCAGCTCTGTTATATGCAGAAAGAGTATCTGTGGGTATTTTTTTTCTTAAGATCTGTTTCTCCTTCTAAAAGAAAAGCCTATGCATATGGATAACTAATAGTCAAAAATTGTTTGCTTTTACCCACAAAAACATTCTTACTTGTGGTTGATCCTTAGAGATCCATTCACAAGTCTCCAAAGGGTGTTCTTTCCAGTAAAATTCTAAATCTGACAATCTGGGCCTCTCGCCAGCCTCCATATTTTAAAAGTTTGACAAGATAAATAGAAATTTGCTGCCTAGCACTAGTTTGGTCTGAATAGAAAGCTGACTTAATTATGTTGAGTTGGCCCTCCCCAACCACCCATCACTGGCCTGTAGAAAAACAGTTCACTGTTACGGTGTTAGGAAGGACCCATTTTTACTAGAATTCTAATTTTCACACTTTGGAACAACGATAATTTCTGTGGCCACATTAACATGTGTCCTGACTAAGTAAAGCACCTTTTCTTTGCCACAGTGCTCGCAGTACTTTCACAAAGTCCCTTTCTTTTAAAATCGCTGAGACCACAGGATTGCCACTATTGTCCTTGGATGGTTCACTTCCATGATCTGTGATTGCTTTTTCACATCAGTGGCCATCTTTTAGTCTCTTGAACAATAGGCCACTTTTATGTGGAGGAGTATCTCGAGCATTTGAATTATCAAGGGAAGGATAATAGCATTCACTGAGGGCTTACTATACATCAAACTCATTGAACCCTCACACCAACCCTATATAAAGTAGCTCCTAGTGTTCCAGTATCAGATGAGGAAAACAGACCTGGTCACATCCCCAGGGTTACAAAACCAGTAAGAGGGACCAACAGCCAGGTCTGATACTAATCCAGAGGCTCCATTCTCTTCCGCTACCAGTTACCACCTTCTTCTATGGTTTCTCTTTGCCCTGGCCTTTCAGTTCCATTTGATTCAAAAAACAAATATATAGGAGTATACAGAAAAAAATATATGTAGGAGGGTTTGGGGGGGGGGGAGGACAGGGAATGATGTAATGTTTAATTTTGAGAATGTAGAAACAAATATTTAGAAAGCACAATAGATTCCCATCCTATATTTGCCATTATCACCCTATAACTCTATAGAAATTCTCCCATTGAATTAATTATAGCACACTGCATGGTGTTTTCCAAGGGAAAGCTCTTCTGTTTGGGCTATCCAGGATTTATAGGTGTTTAAATCATTAAATAGCCCCTGTTTGGTTAAGAGAGCAAGTAATTAATGCAGAAATTCCTCTTTTTTGCCGTCCACAAACAGCACAAAAATCACTCTGAGGGGATTTACACAATACGTCAGCATCTGTGCTGTACCTAGAGTTAAAGTAATTGTGATGACAGGTGTCTAGGTACCACTTTCTTAATGGTTTTCAATATCCATTGATTTACTGTTGTAGCTTTCCCTCCCCTTTTACATCGTTGGCTTTATGAAGGGGCCTAGGAGCAGATTTTTGCACTACAGACTGATTCTTTATTCCAACAGTGAAAAGAACTAATAAAAATAATCACTTGGCTTTTAAGCAGAAAGCTTCCATTTACAGTGTTTCACCCTTACCCCCCTCACCCCACTCCCAGCCCCTTGTTATCTAACATAATGGTTAGAATACATTTCTGTCTCTCCCTTTAATAATTTCATGCATTAACATCCTCTTCACACACACACACACACACACACACACCCGCACGCGCGCGCACGCGTGCACACATACACACACACACACACACACACACACACACACACACACACAGCAAAAGGAAAAAAAGAGGCAGCAGAAATCTCAGCTGTACTTCTAGCCCTTTTAAAAAGTTTGCTCTGTAAATTGGAATGAGGTCAGATTTGGAGCTTCTCATTGCACGCGGAGATTATTATTGCAAAGGGTTCTGAGCCAATGGGAAGCCCGGGGGAGGGGCTTGGCACGAGGAAGCGTTGGTTACAGCGGCTGATTGGCCGGGGCCAGGACTGTGAAAGGATAAAGAGGCGCGAGGCGGAATTGGGGTCTGCTCTAAGCTGCAGCAAGAGAAACGGTGTGTGAGGGGAAGAGGCCGCGTTCGCTCCGGGGTCTCTGGTTCTTGCACGCTCTTTAAGAGTCTGCACTGGAGGAACTCTACCACTACCAGCTCCCTTCCTGCAGAAGGGAGGGGAAAACATACATTTATTCATGCCAGTCTGTTGCATGAAGGCTTTTTGGCTTCCTACCTTGCAACAAAATAATTACACAAACTCCTTAGTGCCGATTCCGCCCACAGAGTATTGGAGCCAGTCTCTTTTTTGCTTTGCATTGTGAGAGAGGCACTAAGTGATACAGACGATGTCGCTTTCCTGAGCTCCCGAGAGCGCTAAGTGAACTGGAATCAACTGCTTCAGGGGAAGGAGGAGAGAGGAGGGAAAAAAAAAAAAAAAAAAGGACTTGCCTGGGAGGCGGCGAGAAACTTGCATTGGAAGCTTCAGCAACCAGCGTTCAAGAAACTCCTCTCCACTTTAGCACGGTCTCCAGACTCGGAGCCAAGAGACAGAGCAAACTGCGGCGCGGTGAGAGAGAGCGAGAGGGAGGGAGAGGCTCACCAGCCTGGGAACTATAACTCCTCTCTGCAAGAGGCGCAGGACTCCTTCCCCTCCGCTTTTGGAGACTTTGCTCTCGCCCGCCGCCACCTCCGCCCGCCCCGGCCGGGAGCGGAGGGGCCCGCTCGGCCGCCGCGGGCGTCCTCCCGCTCGGCGTGCGCTCGGCCGGGAGGGCTCGGCGATCGTGCCGCCGCCGCGAGGCTGTGAGCGCGCGTGGGCGCCCGCCGCGCCGGGGCCATGGTGCAGCAAACCAACAACGCCGAGAACACGGAAGCGCTGCTGGCCGGCGAGAGCTCGGACTCGGGCGCCGGCCTGGAGCTGGGCATCGCCTCGTCCCCGACGCCCGGCTCCACCGCCTCCACGGGCGGCAAGGCCGACGACCCGAGCTGGTGCAAGACGCCCAGCGGGCACATCAAGCGGCCCATGAACGCCTTCATGGTGTGGTCGCAGATCGAGCGGCGCAAGATCATGGAGCAGTCGCCCGACATGCACAACGCCGAGATCTCCAAGCGGCTGGGCAAGCGCTGGAAGCTGCTCAAAGACACCGACAAGATCCCTTTCATCCGGGAGGCGGAGCGGCTGCGCCTCAAGCACATGGCTGACTACCCCGACTACAAGTACCGGCCCAGGAAGAAGGTGAAGTCCGGCAACAACGCCGGCGCCGGCTCCTCGGCCGCCGCCGCCGCCTCCAAGCCGGGGGAGAAGGGCGACAAGGTCGGTGGCAGCGGCGGGGGCGGCCACGGGGGCGGCGGCGGCGGGAGCGGCGGCGGCGGCGCGGGGGGCGGAGGCGGCGGCGCGAGCGGCGGCGGCGGCGCCAACTCCAAACCGGCGCAGAAGAAGAGCTGCGGCTCCAAGGCGGCGGGCGGCGGGGGCGGCAAGCCGCACGCCAAGCTCATCCTCACGGGCGGCGGCGGCGGCGGGAAGGCGGCGGCCGCCTCGTCCTTCGCGGCGGCGGAGCAGGCGGGGGCCGCCGCCCTGCTGCCCCTGGGCGCCGCGGCCGCCGACCACCACGCGCTGTACAAGGCGCGGACTCCCGGCGCCGCGGCCTGTGCGGCGGCCTCGGCCCCCGCCTCGCTGGCCGCCGCGGCGGGCAAGCCCCCGGCCGAGAAGAAGGTGAAGCGGGTCTACCTGTTCGGCGGCCTGAGCGCGGCGGCGGCGGCGGCGGCGGGGTCGCCCGCGGGCGTGGGCGCGGTGGCCGCCGACCCCAGCGACCCCCTGGGCCTGTACGAGGAGGGCGGCCCGGGCTGCGCACCCGACGGCCCGAGCCTCAGCGGCCGCAGCAGCGCCGCCTCGTCGCCCGCCGCCGGCCGCTCGCCCGCCGACCACCGCGGCTACGCCAGCCTGCGCGCCGCCTCGCCCGCGCCGTCCAGCGCGCCCTCGCACGCGTCCTCGTCCGCCTCGTCGTCCTCCCACTCGTCCTCGGCCTCCTCCTCCGCCGGCTCCTCGGCCTCCGACGACGAGTTCGAGGACGACCTGCTCGACCTGAACCCCAGCTCAAACTTTGAGAGCATGTCCCTGGGCAGCTTCAGCTCGTCGTCGGCGCTCGACCGGGACCTGGACTTCGCCCTGGAGCCCGGCTCGGGCTCGCACTTCGAGTTCCCGGACTACTGCACGCCCGAGGTCAGCGAGATGATCTCGGGGGACTGGCTCGAGTCCAGCATCTCCAACCTGGTCTTCACCTACTAGCGGCGGCGCGCGCCGGAGAGGTGGGCCGGGGCGACCGAGGGAGGAGGAGAGGGAGAAAAAAAAAAAAAAGATGGACAGAGAGAGAGAGAGAGGAGAGAGTTAGGAAGAGAAAAAGGGGACGGGAAACAAGAAAAAAGTAAAAGAAAAAGAAAAAAAAAGAGTGATGAGCGCGGCAGCTTTGCCCGCCTCGGGGTCGCCGGAGAGGAGCGCGCGGCGGCGGCGGCGGCGGGGACCCGCGCTCCCATCCCCCACCCTCCGGGGACGCGGGGGAGCGGAGGAGACGGGCGACCCTTTGTTGTTGTTGTTGATGTTGTTGTGATGGCAAAAAAGAAAAAAAAAGAAAAGAAAAAAAAAAGCTCCTTTGAATGTCCTCCCCTTGGCGTGAAGAGACCCCCCCCCCCCCCGCAACCCCATCCCCACCCCCCACCCCGGCGCTTCCGGACTGGTCTGTCTGCACCGCAGCGCGAAGCCGAGTTGGGAATGTTTTGGAGACTGAAGGAATCTCGCCCTCCTCTCTCTCTTCGCCCCCTTAGTGATTTTATTTTTTTGTCGTTTTGTGTTTCTTGGTCAGGAGAGGAGTTGTGGGGGCCGTCAAGGGGGAAGGGGGGCGGTGAAAATCTGCAGCGCGCGCCCCTGGGGACTTTGTCCTTTGCGCCCCGTGCGCCCCTCTCCGCCTCCCCCACTTTTCCTGCAGAAGACGAGGCGCGGGGAGGCGAGCTTGACCGACGGCAGATGTTGGGGGGCCCGCGCTGGGTCCAGAGCCCGGAGGACTGAGACTGCAGGCTGGCCCAGGCCCGTCTTTTTTCCTCTTTTTTAACCCCCCGCCCCCCCAACCCAGCCCCTGCAGCCGGAGGCGCGGTGGAGTGACCGGCGCTCGCAAGTGAGCCGAGGACCTGGTTGGAAGAAGCAGGGGCGGGGGCGACGAGGACCAGAACTGGAAAAGGGGGGGGCGAATCACGAACTGAGACGGATTTGGATTTGCACGTTGGGGAGAAGGTGGTGGCGGCGGCTCCGGAGGGGCCCCCCCGCCCCCCGCCTTCCACGTGGATGAAATCAGCTTAGGGGGGGACCTCCCGCGCCGCGCGGGGGGAGAGGCGGCTGTTGGATGCGGGCCCGGGCCGTGGCGGGCCAGTGGTTTCTGGGGGGAAAAAGAGGTTTTTTTCTTCTCTTAATTGGAATCGTGATGGTGTTGGATTATTTCACTGGTGGGGTTACTATAGCATGTTCTCCTGTCTATCTTTTTGAAGATTTTCTGTATGAGACTGTTGAGCAGTTTTTGAGATAGTGTAGGATAATATAAAAAAGCAGATAGATGGCGCTCTGTTTGATTCCTACGACAAAAAAATTATCACCAGCTTTTTTTCATTCTTAACTGTTTAAAGGATTCAAACGCAACTCAAATCTGTGCTGGACTTTTAAAGAAAAACAATTCAGGACCAAATTTTTTCTCAGTGTGTATGTGTTTATTCCTTCTAGGTGTAAATGAGAAGACGTGTTCTTTTTCCCTCACCGATGCTCCATCCTCGTACTTCTTTTTTCTTGTAAATGTAATCAGATGCCATTTTATATGTGGACGTATTTATACTGGCCAAACATTTTTTTTCTTATTTTTGTCCTTTTTTTTTCTTTCTTATTTTACTTATTCCTTTTTCTATTTTTTTTTCTTTTGTTCTTTTTTTCCTTTTTTCTTCTTTTTTTTTTTCTTTTTTTCTTTTTCTTTTTTTCTTTTTCTTTTTCTTTTTTTTTTTTTCTTTGTAGTTGTTACCCACGCCATTTTACGTCTCCTTCACTGAAGGGCTAGAGTTTTAACTTTTAATTTTTTATATTTAAATGTAGACTTTTGACACTTTTAAAAAACAAAAAAAGACAAGAGAGATGAAAACGTTTGATTATTTTCTCAGTGTATTTTTGTAAAAAATATATAAAGGGGGTGTTAATCGGTGTAAATCGCTGTTTGGATTTCCTGATTTTATAATAAGGCGGCTGGTTAATATCTCACAGTTTTAAAAAAAAATCAGCCCCTAATTTCTCCATGTTTACACTTCAATCTGCAGGCTTCTTAAAGTGACAGTATCCCTTAACCTGCCACCAGTATTCACCTTTCCACCCCAGTCTTATGAAAAGGGGAGGAGAATTAGCCAAACACTGTATGCTTTTAAGAAAAACACATTTTTTAAACAAGATACTGTTCTGTGCAAAGGCTTTAAAACTGGTGCATTTACAGCAAAAAGGGATCCTGTAGCTTTAATTTGTAAACCACATCTTTTTTGCACTTTTTTTATAAGCAAAAACGTGCCGTTTAAACCACTGGATCTATCTAAATGCCGATTTGAGTTCGCGACACTATGTACTGCGTTTTTCATTCTTGTATTTGACTATTTAATCCTTTCTACTTGTCGCTAAATATAATTGTTTTAGTCTTATGGCATGATGATAGCATATGTGTTCAGGTTTATAGCTGTTGTGTTTAAAGATTGAAAAAAAGTGGAAAACATCTTTGTACATTTAAGTCTGTATTATAATAAGCAAAAAGATTGTGTGTATGTATGTTTAATATAACATGACAGGCACTAGGACGTCTGCCTTTGAAGGCAGTTCCGTTAAGGGTTTTTGTTTTTAAACTTTTTTTTTTTTTTTTTTGCCATCCATCCTGTGCAATATGCCGTGTAGAATATTTGTCTTAAAATTTAAGGCCACAAAAAACAATGTTTGGGGGGAAAGAAAAGAAAAATCATGCCAGCTAATCATGTCAAGTTCACTGCCTGTCAGATTGTTGATATATACCTTCTGTAAATAACTTTTTTTGAGAAGGAAATAAAATCAGCTGGAACTGAACCCTAAATCTTGACTTTTGTCATTCTTATGCCTGAAGCCTAAGATTAGGAGCGCCCTACAGTGTGTGGAAGCTTCACCATCTGCCTTAGCGTGGAAACCAGTGAGCTCTCAGAGAGAGGAGACCATTAAATGCCATCTTGCTGAGGAATAAATATTTAGTTCCTCTCGGCCGAATGTGGCAGGCCTTGACCCTGAAATGATGGCATCGGCTGAATATGTGTCAACTCCTCTACATGCTTTCTAGGAATTTTCTGAGTTTACCACATTTTTTAAAGTCTCCCTTTGTCTTGAAATTTTTAAAGAGGGGGGAGGGGCAACGTGGACAATTCTTTGAAGATAAAGCTGGCTGGCTGATCTTTTCTTTAACTTCTATATTCCTAAAGCTGCTTTCTCCTTGACTTGCCCATGGTCACCACTTAGCAGGGCTTAGAATTATTTTCCACAGATTTAGAACAAGTAAGCCTGTTAAATTAGAGGAGAAAGCTATTACCAATTAAGAAATGTGGAAGTTGAATAATTTATTTTTTCCTCAAAAGCAGGAAGGATCATGTGGTGCTACACACTCCATTTTTGTGCCATGCCCAACATGGTTATTAATGTAGGTGAAATGCAACAATAAGGATGACCCAGGAGAAGCTAGCTCCCTGAGGGCAAGGAGGAGAGCTCTCCCCCTCCGAGTCTGTGCAGCACACACTGAGCTAGTGGAGATTTACACTTCTTAGAAGCCTCAGGCCCACCAGTATTATTGAGACATGCATGCCTTGGATTTCCTGAGGCTCATTAGTATTTGGTTTGGAACCTGCAACTTACTAAGTAGCACTATTATTTATTTTGGGGGTTAACAATTGCCATTCACAAAACCCCTTTTCATTTCCCAAATGCTTGTTAATTAAAAACGTGTGCTTTATATTTCTTATAAATTTTCAGCACTGGAGAGGAGGGGTTAAAAAGGAGTCTTTGGAAATAAGCCTTTAGTCATCCGGGATTGCGTATAGGTAAGGGAGTGTGTATCCTGGCTGCCCAGCTAGAAGACATTTTTGGAGCATGTGGTCCAAAATAAGCAATTGTTTTTTGTTTTTTGTTTTTTCAAGGAAAAGCAATAATAACCCCCTCCAAAATAATAGAATTGTCATGGTTCAATATAATTTCACCTTTTAAAGATCATTACAGCTACTAGTTTCCAAATTTTTCTTTTGCCTATTGCTAATATATTTCGTTTTAATTGTATTTGTGTTCTGCAATTGTAGTATCTTGCTGTTTTTCAAAGACCTTAAAACAACATGGTGTCTTAAATCTCTTCAAAGATCTTTGCAAAAGGAGAAAGAACTCTTCTATAAAGTGCTTCAATTTAATTTTGTTCATTGTACTGAGAGTAAGATTGTTTAGCTTTTTCAGATCTAGGTATAAAAACCTTGACATAAATTAAGCCTATATGAAGTATATTTTATTTTGTAAGGTTCTCTTGCTAGAACTATGTTTGTTTTCCCATTGACTTTCCATGTAAGGGTGGATGCTTTAAATATTTTCTTTAATGATTTTGATAATGTTGCTTTAAAAATAAATGCTTAAATGTGCGTGTCTGTCCTAGGAGGTGACAGAGTAAATGTAAGAAACATTTTTGTACTTTTCTTCCTCTGAATCAATTTTCAATCTTAAGTGATACTCACGTGTTAGGTGGTACAAGGCATAATAAACCTGAGAAACCAAACAGTTTAGTATGACTTTTTCTTTCAGGTAATTTGGATCGATAGAAAAGAACAAATTTGAGATTCTCTTTTAAGACTATCAACCCGTTTTCTCTTTAAGGACATTGCTTCTGGCCCTGGGCACCATCAGAAATGCGAATCAGTAATAGTTGCTTACGCAAGGTTTGTCAATTCCTAATTGAATACCTTTAAGTGCCAAGCAAAAAATAAAGAGCCTTTAAGCGGATGTGGAGGGCTTCCTTGATTTGTGCTCCCTGTGGGGGTGGGGTACTAGAGGCCTGAAAGGGCTCTGAAGAAAATGAGAAAGCAAGGGGTTGGGAAGTGGACATCAACATCTATGAGTACTGTATTTCCTGTGTTTATAGAGTGCTCATGAATTAGAAAACACAGTTTGGGTAATGCTATGGGTCAGAATGTTTAATCATAAATTTAAAATAATTTAAGGCTCCCAAGGAGGCATTTGAAAAGATCTAGATTTAAAAATAAATAAATAAATAAATAAATAAATAAAATTAAGAATCTGCTAGGAATTCAAATCTATTTTATCCATTTGGACGTCTTAAGGTGAATGTTGTCATTCATGGTTTTTCTCTGGTGGCATTAACAGTAGGCCCTTTTTTCCTCCTTTAAGGCCTACACAATACTTTCCGAACCCATATTAATGTTTGTTGACCCCTACCCCTCTAATTCACTCTGAAAAATTATCTCCATATACATTTCTGGATCTCTACTCTGGCTATCATTTGAAAGCTAAAGAGTAGAGGTTCTGGAGGGGGGGAGAGAAGCATCTCCAGGCATCTGGATAGAGTCAGACTGCTAAAAATCTACTAAATTCCCCTTCGCACAAAATTCACATGCTGCCTGCCATTTAAAGCCCTGCACACAGTTCTCCAAATTCTAATATAGCCAAGCTGGTCTCTCTCATGAGACTAGAATTGTTAGAGGACAGGAACTAGGCCTTAAATATCTTATTTCTCCAAATTTGCCTTGCATATAATGAATGTTCAATTCTTATTTGTTGACTTTATTGTTTCAAAGGCACCTTAAGAGCTTCCAAAATAACTTTTGCATATTATGCTGCCTGTGTTATCTTAGCTGTGGTATTCTCTTTCCTAGTTGGAAAGTGTCTCCTAGGCCACCTAGCTGTGAAGGAAGTTGGTAAAATTTCTTAGCCTCTAAGCCTCCATGTTCTAAAATGTTAAATGGAAAGAATGCTTTCTAACATGTAAAGCT